AAAACAACTATATATCTTGCGGCAGATTTGAGATGTACTTTTGAGAATGAAAATAATTTAATTTAATTTTTATGTTTTATTTTATTTGAATGTTATGTTTTATTTTATTTTATTTTATTTTTATTTATTTTATTTTAATTTTTTTGTTTTTTAATTTAATTTTTATGTTTTATTTATTTGAATGTTATGTTTTGTTTTATTTTATTTTATTTTATTTTTATTTATTTTTATTTTTTTGTTTTTTAATTTAATTTTTATGTTTTATTTATTTGAATGTTATTTTATTTATTTTATTTTTATTTATTTTATTTTATTTTATTTATTTTTTAATTGAATTTAAATTTTTAATTTGACTTTTATAATATTTTATTTTATTATTTGATTTGATTTGATTTGATTATTTTTTATTTTATTTTCAGTTTAAATAGCTGCTCCTCTCCCAGCAGTGACTCCGAGAGATCGAAACCAACCCATCATATACTGGATAGAATGATGGTTGCTGTGGTTAGGTTATTATCATTTGCCCCGGTCGAAAAAACAATCCAGTTTTAACCCATCCTGACCCCAGACAAACCAATCCACCAACAAACTCATGGATTCAATGAATTTAATCAGCTTTCTTGTGCAAAAGGCTTAACAAACGTACCTATTTCTGAACTGAACACTGAATATCACCAAACCTATACTGTATACAATGCTACACCTATACTAATGCCTAAGTATATCAAAATCTTAAAGCAGGGTTTCTCAACCTTGGCGACTTTCAGACGGGTGGACTTCAACTCCCAGAATTCCCCAGCCAGCATGGCTGGCTGGGGAATTCTGGGAGTTGAAGTCCACCCGTCTGAAAGTCGCCAAGGTTGAGAAACCCCGTCTTAAAGAGTCTGATAAACGTTTCTTTTCTCTTTTGTGCCCTGAGTTGAGACCCACATTTTGGGCCCCCTTGAAATTAGTTGGCTTCAGTCTGTTTTTCTGGGGGGGGCGGGGGGAGAAGGAAGAAGATGCTCTAAAAATGGCTGGCTGGCTGCAGACCGTCAGCCTCCCTGCTGGAGGGGAGAGGCTGCCGGGGTCCCCTTCCCCCTTCAGCTCTTCTGCTGTGACCTTGCTGGAATTCGCACCTGGCACGTGCCTCTTCCTTGCCAGCTGCTCCGCCGCCTCTGCTGCAAAATTGTCCTCTCTCCTCTCCCCCACAACAAAGATCTCCTTCCAGCATCTTTCTTTTGTAACTGGGGACCAAATCTGGTCCAGGGTTCCTCAATCTGCAGTGCTGCTGATGGGAAACAACGGAGGGAAGGAAGGGTTCCCGCTGACCAATGCAAGGCTGTCCCTCCTTGAACACCGGCTGTTTCTTCTTTTTCCCTCTTCCCTCCCCATCCCCTTCCTCTAGTGCCATGCCTTTTAAAGTTGTCTCTCTGTGTCAGGTCTATGATTGGCATGTCCCTTGGGGAGAACTTTTGAGCCAAAGAAGGCTTGAAATAATACATTAGGAAGCCCTTAACTCTGCATCACTCAGAAGACATCACCTGAACGGAACCTCCAAGCTCAACAGCAGTCTACCCTAGAACTCTAGTGGCCAGGGAGAGGGTTCAGGGCCAGGTGTCCGGCTTGTGAACCTCCCAGAGGCACAGGAGTGTTCCTGATACGGCAAGGGGTGTGTAGACTGCTCTATCAGGAATTGGTGAGCTCAGCTGCACATAAGTGTGAAAAAACAGGGGAAGTGTGGGATTAATTGAAGAAGAAAAATTGACAAATCTGACTGGGTTAAGCTGTGTGAGGGTGCTGGGTTCCATTTCTCGGTTTCTGCAAAACGGGCGACCGTGCCCTGCGTTAGTGGAAGGGCAGTGCAATTCTTCGCCCATTAAGCAAGTGCGTCCTGCAGAACGGCCCCAAATCACGCCCTCTCTTTTCATCAGACGCCAGTCTGGGTCGGGCCTGTAGTGGCCGAGACGCCGGACGTCGCTCCCTCACTGCCGTTTCTGCTTCTCCTTCGGTTTACGGTCTGCAGCGGCACCCGCTCGCCCTCCTGCTCTTCCTCCTTGGATGCAGCCAAGCGCGCCTTTGCCCGCGCCAACCATCCCTGTAGTTTCAACTCTAGAGTAACAGGGAAGACAGAACAAGTGCCAGGCTGAGCAAAGGTTTACCTTCGTTTTCTTACCAGTTTCCATTTGATCGGATGGAAGTACGGTTGTTTGAGGATTGCTTTCAACGCCCTAGAACAGGGATGGCGAACCCATGACACGCGTGTCAAAGGTGGCACGCCACGACGTGTTGGGTGACCTCCCAGAGTTCACAGACGCCCGACAGCCACTATTCTCCCTCTTTGAGTTTGTTTTACTCGTATTTCATTTTTGTAATTATTTGACGTTTCTTTATATAATACAGAGCACTACACGACTGGACTGGACTTTTTTTAAATAAACGAATATGGAAAGAATTGTTTCTCCTTTGTTTGGTGTGGGGGGTGTGACACGCCAGCAGAGTCAAGTGAGATTTTCCAAATGTCTGACCCACTAAGCCCAAACGGTTCGCCCTCCCTGCCCTAGAAGTTGCAACGGGTCCAGAAGGCAGCTGGCTGGGGAATTCTGGGAGTTGAAGTCCACACACCTTAAAGCGGCTGAGCTTGAGAAACACGGACGTAGAAGCTGCAACTGGTCCAGAATGTGGCAATGTGTGAAGTTTGGGGCGCACCAATGTGCAGCTATGTTGCCCTCTGCTCTGTGTGCTGCACTGGCTCCCGGGTGCAATTCAAGATGCTGGTTGGCCCTAGAAGAGCCAGGTTACTTGTGGGACCCCCTGTCTCCAACTGTGGGACCCCCGTCTCCAACAGAGCTGGCACAGGAAGCAAATTCCAGGTCCCTCTATTAGAATCTCCAGTAGTAATGTATGGCTGTGAGAGCTGGACCATAAAAAAGGCCGAGCGCCAAAGAATT